CATTTTGTATGCCCTCTCCATTGGACACTGGGCAACTTCTAGTCTCATCTGTCCTAAAGGAACATATTGGTAAAAATAAAGAAAGATAAATGGTGGGTTAAAGACATTTGTAAATTCACTCCTCCACAAGCACGATGATAACAGTGGGAAAACTGTCGAAATCAACGTTTTCAGATTCCTGGAAATTATCCAAAGGCTCACAGCAATCCAAAGAGTGCTCATGCAAGAAAAATGGTTGGATCTCAGTAATAATAGTGAGCTTTGTGGTATTTTAATTTGACCATTCCCATTGCCTTCTTCCCAGCTCCACATTAGCCTTGAAAAACAACAGCTTTGCAACTACAGTAGCTGTGAAAACCTGGAGACTAGCAACTACTGGAGGGGACAGTACACGTTTGGAGCACCCCCAAAAGCCCAAAGAATTATACTTCTCTGACCTGTCTGGGAGCTCCCAAGAACAGCCCCACTCGCAGTTATTATCTCTGTTTGATGGACTCAGAGTTCACTACAAACAGTACAAACAGTCCTATCCTCATGGTGGTTTTTTTTTTCTTTTGAAAAAATTCATAATGAGTGTTTTACATCATAGTTGCCTTAAGGTGCAATACCAGCAAGGCAAACAAAAGGATGAATAAATCTTACAATAAAAACCTGTGAAATGCAATGTCTATAAGAGGCTTTGAAAAGTTATGAGCTATCCCTGGGAGTCTAGAAGGCCACAAACATGTGTAGGGTTTTTGCATGCACAGGAAAGATCTGAGAAGGTCCTTATATCTCACCTCTGGCTGACCTTGAGGCTCTGCACAACAGGAAGTGAAGCCTAAGGCAGAGTTATAAATTCCTAGAGGATTGAAGGGGTGTCCCCAGTACACACAGGGAGCCCTTCATCAAAGGGCTGGAAACTGATTTATTTAAGACATTGAAAGAAATCTCTGTCCAGTCATCAGCTGACCACTAAGCTAGCAGAGCAGGGACTTCTGAGGCTGTATACATTGAACAATACATACTTTAGAGAGTTAGTCCAAAAAATTTACTTAACAAACAAACAGCAGCAACAACAACAGCAGCAAACAACTACAAACCCTGGGAAGGGTTGGAATCTGATTTCCAAAGCTATCATATTAAACTACTTAAAATGCCCAGTTTTCCAACAACAACAATAAATTATGAGACACAAAGAAACAGAAAAGTATTTCCCATACAAAGAAAATAAAATGTTTAATAGAAACAGTCATTGAGGAAGCTCAGATTTTGGCTTACTATATAAAAAGTTTATTTAAATATGTTCAGAGGACAAAAGCAATACATGTTTAAAAAATTCAAGGAAAGTATGGGAATGATGACTCATAGAAAAGAAAATATCGATACAAATAGGAATTATAAAAGAACCAAATAGAAATTCTACAGTTGAAAAGTAAAATAACCAAAATAAAAAATTCACTACAACAGCAAATTTGAGTTGGTAGAGGAAAGAATCAATGAACTTCCAGATAGGTCAACTGACAATATCTAGTCTGAGGAGCAGAAATTAAAAAGAATAATGAACAGAGATTTCAGAAACCAACATATGCAAAATGAGAGTCCCAGGTAGAGGGAAGACTATTTAAAGAAATAATGGCCAAAATCTTCCCAAATTACATGAAAAACATTAATCTACATATCCAAGAAGCTCAATAAACTCCAAGTAGGACAAACTCAAAGATATCCAAACCTAGATATGTGACAATCAAACTGTATAAAGACAAAGAAAATATTGAAAGTAGCAAGAAAGAAGTGACTGATCACATATGAGGAATCCTTAATCAGATCATCAGTAGATTCTCATCAGGAACCAGAAAGGCCAGAAGGCAATGGAATAACATATTCAAAATGCTGAAAGAAAGCCTAATTTCAATATCTTTTTGGAGAAACTGACAACCTTCTCCTAAAATTTATAATTTAATTTTGTTTTCAGATTGTTCATTGATATGGTTACTTCTTCCCTTCCAATATAGATGGGGTTTTTTTTTTCTTTCACTTTCTTGCC